TGGTCCCAGCCCCTCCCCTGGGCCTCAGTTTCCCTCCTATGGTCCCAGCCCCTCCCCTGGGCCTCAGTTTCCCTCCTATGGTCCCAGCTCCTCCCCTGGGCCTCAGTTTCCCTCCTCTGGTCCCAACCCCTCCCCGGGGCCTCATTTTCTCTCCTCTGGTCCCAGCTCCTCTTCTGGTCTCAGTTTCCCTCCTCTGAGCCTCAGTTTCCCTCCTCCAGTCCCAGCCCCTCCTCTGGGCCTCAGTTTCCTTTCCCTGCACCCAGCCCCTTCTCTGGGCCTCAGTTTCCCTCCTCTGACAGGTAAGGCAACTGGCAATGCTTAGAACCCCATGGACTGGCTGCTCCTTTTTATTTCATGGCCAGGGAAACTGAGGCACAGACAGGCACACGCTGAGGTCAGCAGGACCCTCCATTATTTTATTCCTGTGTGCCTGCAGTGCATGGGGTCAGGGATCATGGGCACAGGCCCCGGGTGGAGGGGGGCCGGCCATCACCACGGCCACCACAGGCCCTCACTGGGCTTGGAGGAGTGTACTCAGAACCACAGCCAAGGAGGGGAAGTGAGGGTGAGGGCAGAACCTGGGTAAGGTGAGGAGCAGCTCGTGCAGAGGCCCTGGGAGGGCCCGGGGGTGCAGGGCTCCCCAGTCCAGGAGCTTAGGGGTGTCAGCGTGCCCAGGGGGGCAAACAGGCCACGAAGGGAAACAGGACCAGTGTGGGGGTCTTGGAGGAACAGGTGGATGGATTCCAGTGCGTTTGGAAGGTGAGGTTCTCAGGGCTCTGGGAATATGGCAGCTGTGAGTTGGGACCCAGCCCGCGCCCCTTCTGGATTTCTCTTGTGGACCCAAATCCAGGTCTCCATGTAGACCAAGGAACAGAGGCAGCCCCAGCTCGGGCTCCCAGGCTCACCCAGGCCTGCCAAGTGGGTGGTCCCCGCCTCTATGATGGAGGGAAGCCAGGCTCAGAGATGGGGTGACCTGTCCCAGGTCCTGGAGGGTCTCACAGCTCCACGACGGCCAGGAGCCCCCAGTCCAGAGGCCTCCATCCCCAGCGACCTTCGCCGACCCCAGGGGACCCCAGCCCAGGGGCCTCCATCCCCAGCGACCTTCGCNGACCCCAGGGGACCCCAGCCCAGGGGCCTCCATCCCCAGCGACCTTCGCAGACCCCAGGGGACCCCAGCCCCGCAGCTCCAGAGCTGGACGAGCTGCTCTCCGCGGTCCCCGCGCGGCCTCCGGGGAAAGGCCATCGGACCCGCCGTCGCGGGGGTGGGACCCAGCCCGGCCTCTGTCCAACTTCCCTGCACTTGACTTCGACCCTCCGGCCTCTGTCTGCGATTTTCCGTCCCTGGAAACGGGGCCTGGATCGGACCCAGACCTTCCTGCCCGCCCGCCCCGACGCCCCGGGGCCCCCACCCCGTCGTTGGCCCCCAGCCCCTGCCTCCCTGCCGCCTCCAGGGTCGGGGGTCAGGCCGGGAAAGCCCCTCGGGAAGCCCCCCGGGAGCAGCGGGAGGGGGCGGAGGAGCGGGGTCGCGGGCGGCGGGAAGGAGCGGGCGCCGCTATTTAAGCCGCTTCCCCGCGGCCGGGGACAGAGGGGACCGAGCATGGAGCGGGGCCTGGCCCTCCTGCTGGCGGGGCTTCTGGGGCTCCTCCCGCCAGGCCGCGGTGAGCAGGGGAGGGGGTGCGGGACAGAAGAGGGGGCGCAGAGGGGAGGGGGCGTGAGAGAGGAGGGTGCGCAGAGGGGAGGGGGCGCGGGACAGAGGAGGGGGCGTAGAGTTAAGGCGCTCCAGAGAGGTGGTGACTCGTGGTCCTGCCGGAGGAGGGGACCCGGAGGAGGCAGAGGCTGAGAGAGGAAGTTGGGGGGCTCTGCGCGGCCCCCCGACCCTCAGGGAAACCCGCTCTAGGCCGCTGGGGTTCTGAGGTTCAGGGGACCGGGGCAGAGGCGGGGGTCAGGGTGGGGTTCAGGGTCCGAGCCTGGGAGTCCGG